GAGCTCAGGTCTCCGTCCCCGCAGCCCCACTGCTTCCGCGCCTCCCTGCGCGGGGCTCTCGGTTCTGTGCCCGGGCGAGTCCCCAGAGCGGCACGGTGGTTGGGGAGACGCCGCTGTGAGCGTGGATGTCAAGGAGCCCAGCCCAGGCACGCTCTGCCCCCTTGCCTTACTCTTGCTTTTTCACAGCACTTTACACTCTCAGGAATCTTGTTCTGTTTTCTCCTGAATTTATACTTGTGTGTATTGCTTGTCTTTCCTAATAGAATATAAACTCACCGTGCTGTCCCGACTGCCTAGAAAAGTGCTTGGGACAGAGTGAATGCTCGGTAAGTATTTGCTGAGCAAATATGGAAAAAGGAATGCATCAGATGAGTAATCAGAGAAGGCTTCCTGGAGGAGTGACATTGAACTGAGGCTCAATGTTATAGGTTCAGAAGAAGCAGCTCTGTGAACACTGGAAGGAAAGTGGTGCCAGGAAAGGGCAACAGTTATTGCCAAGGCCCTGAGGCTGAGCTGCTTTGGCATGGCCTGGGGTTGGGTGACCAAGGGGAGAGCTCAGGAGGTGAGGTGGGAGAGGTAGGTGGGTCAGATCAAAGAGGGCGTGGCAGGCCCAGGCAAATGAGCTACGGTTTTATTCTAAGTGTGTTTTAAGCAGAGGAGTTGCCTATCTGATTTGCCTTTTGAAAAGATCCGTCTGGAAGGGGTGTGGACAGTGCGTCGTGGGGGTGGGGCAGTTAGGAGGGAGCGGAGGTCCAAGAGCAAGGACCCTCGTCCAGGTGATACCCACACCCCCTACCTGGCACAGCGCCTGGCCGAAAGAGCTACACCCCTCATCCCTGAGTGTTAATCCAGTCAAATGAAGTCCCACGGAGACCAGGGCCCAGAACCAGAACTCCCTGCTTCCCCCAGCATGGGGGTCGGTAAATCCCCGTCAATGTTCTCTCAGCCCCCTCCCTCCAGCCACAGGCCACAGCTGGCCAGCCACTTCCTCCAGGCAGCTGTCAGGCACAACCACCTCCCGCTGCTCTTCTGCCACTTGGATCTCCCTTCAAGGAAGGATTTGTGGCACCCACTACAAGCAGGCAGCCCTCGGCTGAGAGCAGCCTTGCTCAAGGTCACACCCCTGAGGGGGGTGGCCCCAATGACTACCCACACACAAGTGTCAAAGTCTGGCCATCGATGCTGATGGGATATTCTAGCCTCAGGATTCTCCGTGGGGCCAGTCAGAGCTTACCCAGGCCTCCTCAGTCCACTCCTGCCTCGTCCCATCCCTCACACAGGTGTTAATCTCAAGGGAACTTCCAAATAAGCATCCTGAACACTAAGCTCTGTCTGAGGGCCCCCAACAAGCCCAGCATTTAAATGGGAGGTGCTCTGGGGTGGTGTGGAAAGAGCTTGCCCATTTCTCTGCTGAACAAATACTCCGAGGGCACCTGCCACGTGATGGCCCTGGGGGCTAGGTGCAAGCTTGCTTTCTGATGGGAGAGGATTACAGAGCAGTGTGGTCAAGGAAGTAGCTGCTGCCCTGTGAATATCAGGGAGGACTTTGGAGCTCTGGAAGATCTCCCAAGGTAACGTGATGTCTCCTGGTGGATGGGTGCGCAGACGTAGGGCCAGGCTGCGAAATGGGGGCTGGAA